CTTCAGTTTATTTTAAAGTGGGTGATCCTTTTTTTAAAAAATATATATATATATTTTATTGATTTTTTACAGAGAGGAAGGGAAAGGGATAGAGAGTTAGAAACATAGATGAGAGAGAAACATGGATCAGCTGCCTCCTGCACACCTCCCGCTGGAGATGTGCACGCAACCAAGGTACATGCCCTTGACCGGAATCGAACCTGGGACCCTTCAGTCTGCAGGCTGACACTCTATCCACTGAGCCAAACCAGTTAGGGCTAAAGTGGGTGATTCTTGAAGAAAGGCAGGAAAACTAGACAGATTGGTCCCTTCACACACACACACACACACACACACACACACACACACACACACACATACAAACACATACACACACTTCCTCCCCACCTGTGTATAGGGGAACAGAGGCTGGGCAAGGAATTGTGAATAAGAGATATTTTAATAGAAATAACAGGCCACAGGGGAATACTGTGTAGCAATGAAAACAAAAATGATTTTCATTGATTTATAACCACATGCAGCAATACTGATAAATCTCACAGATATAATGTGAATGAAAGAAGCTATATACAAAGAGGAGATATATGATTCGCGTTATGTAGACTCTAGAATCAGATTCTAGGGTATGAAAACAAAACCATTCTGCTCTGTTTCAGTCACCCTCGGGAGGTGACTGAAAGAGAGTAAAGAGCAAGTGGGGCTTCTGGATGCTGGACGCTAGTTACATGGATGTCCCCAATCTTAGAAGCCAGGCAGTGTCACTTCTATTGCATTCTATTGGCTCAGGTAGTTCCAGAGGTCAGCCCAGGATCAAGGGGGAGGAAACATCGACACCTCCTCTCAATGGAAGGACTTTAACATCACATTGTAAGAATATATATCCAGATGGGATATGGATATATCGGTGCAGCTATCTTTACAAAATATAATTTGCCACATAGTGCATCAACTTTGTCTCCAGCCTTACCTCTTTCCAATCTATTTTCCATACTGAAGCCAGCCAAAACCGCTAAAAAAACCCAAAAAAACAAAAAACAAAACCCAACAACAAACAAGCAAGAAGCCCATTTATTTGCTTAAAGTATTCCTAAGTCTATTTATCCTGGTTAGAGATCCCACCAGCTTATTAATTTGTTTGTCGTTTGCTCTTTCCTTACTGATGCACAATCCACCACTCTTTACCATGATGGTTGCTTTGAATAAAACTGTACAGTTTGGCCACCAGTTCCAAGAAGGGTTCATTCTTTCCTGGTAATTTATTCATATGTAGCATGTCATTTAATTACAGAATATTTCAACTAATGCAGTGTGTCTCAAAGTGTAGTCAAGGATCACCTGCAACAGGTTGTATGGAAGGAGGGTCTCAAAATTTGTATTCAAATGAAGAATACCATGTAATTGTAAGGTACACTGAAGTGTGAGAACCACGACTGTTTCTCTGACCTGCCCAGTTAAACTAATGAGCCGATTTCATTTCATGTTCCTCTACTTTCCCCAGCTACTCGCTGATGTCTCTCCATTTTCAGCCACCCAAGCAGAGGTAGGTGGAGAAGAATATGCATTCAGACCTGGGACTGGTGTAGCTGCTTCTTGACTGAGGCAGCCCTGTCTCTGCAGCTTGAGACAAACCCAGCGGCTTCAGTGAGTTGAGCTTGGTCTGTCCCATCCTGCTCCTTCAATCTTTTTCTCCTCATTCCACCCCTCCAAAAGCCATCTAGTTATTAGGACCCTCCAAATAATCCTCTAGAGCAGTGGTTCTCAACCTTCCTAATGCCTCGACCCTTTAATACAGTTCCTCATGTTGTGGTGACCCCCAACCATAAAGTTATTTTCGTTGCTACTTCCTAACTGTAACTTTGCTACTGTTATGAATCGTCATGTAAATATCTGATACGCAGGATGTATTTTCATTGTTACAAATTGAACATCGTTAAAGCATAGTGATTAATCACAAAAACAATATGTAATTATGTGTTTTCCAATGGTCTTAGGCGACCCCTGTGAAAGGGTCGTTCGACCCCCCAAAGGGGTCGCGACCCACAGGTTGAGAACCGCTGCTCTAGAGTTCCTCAGCCCTTAGTAATTTTGCTATGCCCTTAGTAATCCATACAAGTGCCCAGAAAGTCACCAAATATTTATTCAGCACCTACTATGTGTCAGGCACTGTTCTAGGACTTGGGGGACTGTACTTCCATGGAACAAACCAGATAAAAAAAATCCTTATCTTGTAGAACTGATATTCTAGTGAAGAAGACAGACAATGAGTAGTAAACAAATAAGACAATGACTAGTATATGATCTGTTAGAAGGGGAAACAGGAGTGGGAAGGGGTGGGGTTGCAATATAGGGATAGTGGTGGGAGAGCGTCACTGAGAGAAGATAGGAAGGATCAGCAGTGTGAAACATACTGCTACCTCTGTGAGGAGCATGTCGGCCAGGAGTGCCAGGCAGGTTGGAGGGAGAGGAGAGTGAGGAGGCCATTGTGACTGGAGCAGGGAAGTGGGGGAAGATGTCAGGGAAGTCATGGGTGGCCGGATTCCATGGGCCTTATAGGCCTCCGTAAAAATATGATTTTTTTACTCTGAGTGAAATGGGAAGCCTTTGCAGGGTTTCAGGCAGAGGAGGGGCGTTTTTTAAGCATCTCTGGCTGTGCTGTGAAGAAGAGTGAAATCAAGAAGCTATTGCAATAATTCAGGCGAAGCATGATGGTGTTTTGGACCATGGCGGCAGGTTGAAAGTCATAAAATTAATGTTTGTTTAGTTCAAGTTGCAGCATGAATCATGGCTTGCATTGAATGCATCACTGATACGCTTCTGCGGTGGGTTTTCCCAGCCTCCGATTTGAGATGGATAGGGAGGGGAGGGGGGCGACACGGTTTGAGGTTACCAAGGAGATAGAACATCATAGATCTGAAAACCTCAGAATGTTCTAGGCCTTTAGGCCTCTGGCGCAGCAATAATTCTGTGGCCGAGCCCACCGGCCGCTTCCCAATGATCGCGCGCAACAGGCCCGGGTGGGAGCCTATGGAAAGCGCAGGACTTCGCACAGCGAGAGGAGCGCACCCCGGGAATCGTAGTTCTGCGCCCGTGCGCAGGCGCAGTGGTCCCCCGCCGGCTTGCGCGCGCAGCTACTGCAGGACCAGCTTCTGGAAGCTCATTGCGGTAGCGCTGGTCTTGGCTGCTGGTCCTGATGCAGGTAGTGCTTGCCCAGGGCCCTCATTTGGGGGCCACCACCAGGTCGCCGGCTCCGAGGATGCACTTGGGTAGGGGTGGGTGCCGAGGGATATTGGGATATTGCGCTCCCAATCCCGCAGCTCCGGTGGGAGGTGGCCACCCTCCTAAATTACGGAGCTCTCCCCCATCGCCTCCCTGCTCCCGGGGTCTAGCAATTGAGGTACTTTCGGATTTTCAGCGGGCAGATTCCTTGTTATGTGTGCGTGGCGGGAGGACGGCTATCCCTTGTATGGCAGGATGTTTAGCAGCATCCCTGGCTCTACCCGCTAGGTACCTGTAGCATCCCTCCTCCCCAGTCGTGCCAACCAAAATGTCTTCAGCGTTGCCAAGGCTCCCGATGAGGCAAACCCCCACCTGTTCCCCCTCCCCACCACCACCCCCATTGGAGAACTTATTTCTGCCTGCGTCACATTTTCTCGGTGCTTCTGTTGTAAGCTCCCTGGAGACCTAGAGGAGTGTCTTAGTTGCCGCAGAGCCCCCAGATGCCCAGCAAGGCGCCGGGTTCGTAGTAGGCACCTAATATTTGGCCGAGGAATAGGTGACGTCATACGTACCGTGTGCCGGGTTGTGTGCTCGGAGGTGGGTAATTGCTGGTACCATAGTGGCAGTAGGAGGAGAGTGTTCTGGCACTGGCTGTGCGGTAGCACATCTCAGGCTGGGTGCTCTGGGGGGGGGGTGGGGTCCCTGTGTGACCTATCCTGCCTGCCTCCCGAGCGCCCCGTTCCCAGCTCATTGACGATCCGTTCTTTGTAGAATGAAAAGAATGCATGCGGCGCAGGACAGGCTCTGCGGAAAAGCACCTGTGGTTTAGAGAAAGCTTCACCCAGAGGGGACAGATGAAAGGATAGAAAGGTGACAGTTTTAAAGAATGGAAAACCTTTGCTTGCAGAGGGAAAGAAGAGAGCGTTCCAAGGAGAAGGAATGGCGCTAGTGCAAAGGATAGAAGGGAATGAGGAGATGCTTTTTTTTTTTTTTTTTTTTGGTGGGAGGAGAGACTTTTTTTTTTTCTTGCAGTGTCCATCAAGGGCACTAGGTAGAGCTCAAGAGGCGAGGTCACAGCGGACAGGGTCTCTAGATCATCATGCCTGACCTCTGCGTTTCTATTTTACCTGGAGGCAGTTGGGGAGGGATCTTATTTTGCTTAGGCTACAGTGTGATACTGGATTGGAGAAGCCTCTCCTTAGGTAGTTTCAGTAGGATAGAATGGTGAGGTTCTTAGGAATTAAAGCTGCCAGAATTGGGATATTGATTATGTGAGAAATTTGATAGGCAAGTATGAAATCAGGCTTCTGAGTTGAGCAACTGGTGGAAATGTGTGGCCATTCCCTGAGAGAGGGCGGGAGTTGATGAATAGGTTTGCGACTGTTTCTTCCTGTAGCCCTGAGCCTTTTCTGCTCACTTTTGCTTATGAGGAGTATTGAGTCTGAAGAAACTGTTTTTCTCCAGGGGACCTTTAATTACCCTTAAGTAACTCCTTTCACCTACAAAGAAAATTATGCTTTTTATATAGTAGCTGGGCAAGGCTGTCTTAGGCCTCTGAGAATATATATCTGTATAACTGTATCTATATATCTATATCTATGAACCAAACCAAGAACAATGTTTTTAGGATTAATGATTCGTTTCACTTATTTAATATTTTATATTTCTTGACAGTTCCTACAAGACCATTAACTGAACCCTTGATATTTGCTATTTGTAGTGCCTGTTGGTGGACTGTACTGATATCCAATTGGAGTCTGAGGGGACTGAGTTCTTGCTGGTGACACAGACGGCAAGCAGTAATACCCGTGAACAAGATGACGGCCGTCTCCTCCGAGCCTCACACTCTGGCTTCAGATGAACAAAACAAGGACCTGAGAATGGATACACCTGGGGAGGAAGACGCTATCCTGGGAGGAAACACTCCTGACCCCGAGTCTCTCAGACAGAGGTTCCGGTGGTTTTGTTACTCAGAAGAGGCTGGACCCAGAAAAGCCCTGAATCGGCTCTGGGAGCTCTGCCTTCAGTGGCTGAGGCCAGACATCCACACGAAAGAACAGATTTTAGAGCTTTTGGTGTTTGAGCAATTCCTGTCCATTTTGCCCGGGGAGATCAGGATTTGGGTAAAATCACAACGTCCTGAGAATAGTGAGAAAGTGGTGACCTTAATAGAGGATTTGACCCAAACGCTTGAAGGAAAGGAAGGTGAGATTTATAGATGGAGGGAGGAAGTGGGAAAGATCTCCTTAGCGTATGAGAGTGAACTCCCCAAAAGATAGCAATATATTGCTAGAGAGGAGGCTAATATAAGACTAAGTTTGGAGGTGGGATTGGGTTTGAATTCCCTGTCTTTTACTGTGTGATTTTGGGGAAGCTACATAACCGCTCAGAACGTTAAATTCTTTTAGCTGTAACAAGGGGATCCCATCTTATCTATAGTGTTGTGAGGAATAAATAGGGCAAGTATAGTACATGGTGGATGCTCAAGAAACAGTAAGTTCTTTCCCTTGAGCAAGAGGGGACTTTAGAACGCAGGAGAGAAAAACTTTACCTGGAAGTGTTTGGAGCCACAACCATATCAGCCAGCCAGGCCTTAACTTCTAACTCCAGTGTTTGCAGCAGCACATTCCTAGAATGGTGCTGTCCAGTATCTGTGATGATGGACGTGTGTTCTGCACTGTTTTTGCACTTCAAGCTGGTGCAAATAAGGAATTGAGTTTTGTTTTTTTAAAATATATTTTATTGATTTTTTTTACAGAGAGGAAGGGAGAGGGATAGAGAGTTAGAAACATCGATGAGAGAGAAACATCGATCAGCTGCCTTCTGCACACCCCCCACTGGGGATGTGCCCGCAACCAAGGTACATGCCCTTGACCGGAATCGAACCTGGGACCTTTTAGTCCCTAGGCCAACGCTCTATCCACTGAGCCAAACTGGTCAGGGAGGAATTGAGTTTTTAATTAAATAATTAAATTTAAACTTAAATAGCCATATGTGGCCAGCAACTACCCTGTTGGATAGTACAATTCCATAGCCTTCGGGAACAGCTGACATTTTCATAATCACATTATTACACATTATATACTAGTGTATACAATGTACACTATGAATTACAACATGATTGCATCATTGTAAAATATTGATGAAAAGACTTCTAGGGTGGCTAGCCCTTTTGAGAGCATGTGGTTCAACTTGTATAAAATCCCTCTCTATGCTACAAATATTCCAAATATTTATGTATATTATTTACCATAAGGCTCTCAGTACATATGCATGACAGTTTGTATTCTACCAGGAGTTCTGAGATAGATGGGTGTTTATCGATGAGAGAGATAAACACCTCTCCTTTCTGTTTTAAAGAGTAGGAGAAAACTTTTTCTGTTTCTTATGACCTTTTTCTCCAGAGACATATATAGGAATTTCTAGTCTGAGGAATTCATTTGAAAGCCTGGACTGTATTTTTTTTCTCCCCTTCCAGTTTCCCAAGATTCTGTTATTTCCCAAGAGGAGAACCCTGAAGAAGATACAACGGTTTCTGTCCTTCCAAATACTGAGTCCAGGGTAAGTTTCCTTTCACTGGTTTTCATTCTTAAGTGAATACTTACTGACCTCCTACTGAGTGGTATAAAAATACTAGATAGAATAAGTAAGACAGTCTCCTGTTGTCATTCTTCAAAGTTATTCTTCACATTCTTTTTTTTTTCTTCAGTCTGGTGAATTTGTCACAAGGTTGACTCTAATAAAAACAAATATTTGCTAAAATTTAACAGTTATTCCTGATACAGTTAGCCAGGTGAAAATAGAAATGTATTTCCTAACATGATAAAAAAACATCCCCAGCTGGAAAATCAAAAGCAGCTCTTACAATGCCCACAAAAAGATAAGGATGTTTTAAACTTACTGCTATTAATGAGTATTTTCTGAATATTTTAGCCAGTGTAGTACGATACGAAAGAAATAGGTAAGGATTGATAGCTTGCTTTGGAATCCTTAGAAATTTAAATACTACCAAAACTAATAGTTTATATTTTCTGAAATCTTAGGGTCTATTTAGGAATAATCCAATGCAAAAAGACTGTGTTTGGTGTTCTAGGAACCCATGACATTCAAGGATATAGCTGTGAATTTTTCCAGAGGAGAGTGGAGGAAGCTGGAACCTTTTCAAAAGGAGATATATAAGGAAGTGCTACTGGAGAACTGTAGGCACCTAGAATTTCTGGGTAAAGACACCTTCTCTTTATGATTTAGCATCAAACCTGGGTATCTTTTTGGCCACTATTTTTGAAAAAAGACAATTGCTACTGTTTTGGCTGGGCATGCAGGAATGATATGATTAACCCTAAAAATAGGTCCTGAAAATGTACTTTTCCGCTGAGTTTTCTCCAAAAAAGAGTCTTTGCTTCATTGAATTGGAAATGTTGAGAATCATTTTGCCCTCCTCAAGACCAAACCTCCCCCATGTTCTCTTCAAATTTCAGTATTGCTGTCTGTATTTGACAGTATCTTCTCTTCCTTGGAGAACCAGACTCTATGTGTGGATGCTGACTGACTTTGTTCTATGGAAAACAGACATTTTTCGTGTTTTGTTTTTTTTCTCTATGAGCAGGCTTTCCAGTTACCAAATTAGATGTGATTTCCCAGCTACCGTGGGTTGAACCAGGGCTTCTGGAAAAAGAAGTCTCAGAAGGCTCCATACCAGGTGAGCTGGTGAAAAGTAGACAAGGAAATTAAACCAGTTGCTTGCCAAGTCATTTGGGAAGACCTTTTGAAATGTTGGGTGGGCCATCTTGCTAAATTAAAATAGAATGACGATTAGAATATACACGTTGTCTTCCTGGAATGTTCATTTTAACAGATTGTTAGTTTGGGTTCTCTGAGAAGTAGATGCCAAGACATGATTAGCCTTGCCAGAGACTTATTAGGAAAAATTGCAGTGAAAAACGGGGTAGGCTCTGGAAGAGGCTGGGAGTGAGGTCAGAATGTGATGTAGGTATAACGCCTGGGAAGGAGAGGGAAGGAAGGGTGGGTAGGAAGAGTCTGAGACAAAAATGCAGTTTAAGGAAGTTCTGGCAAGTCTCCTCTCAGAGTCCTGTGTCTCACAGAAATGGGCCTGAGTATCCCTGCTCTACTTGTCATCGACTGTGACCAGCTGTGGGAAAGTGGCCGAGGCATGAATGCCGTGGTGGGTTCATAGAGCAGCAGCAGCTGTTGTTAGCTGCCAGTTAAGTGCCACAGAAAAGACCAGAAAAGGGCATTTTTATGGACACGATAGATACAGATGGCAAAACAAAAACTTCGTAATGGGATTTATGCTATAATGGCAAGTATAAGGAACAGTGGAAAAATATTAGGAGCAACAGCTTAATTAACATTTGAATTGAATCTTTTTTAAAAATATATATTTTATTGATTTTTTACGGAGAGGAAGGGAGAAGAACAGAGAGTTAGAAACATCGGTGAGAGAGAAACATCGATCAGCTGCCTCCTGCATACCCCCTACTGGGGATGTGCCCGCAACCAAGGTACATGCCCTTGACCGGAATCGAACCTGGGACCCTTCAGTCCGCAGGCCGACGCTCTATCCACTGAGCCAAACCGGTTAGGGCTGAATTGAATCTTGAAGGATCAATGTGAATTTATCCAGAGGACATCATGTATAGTATAATCCTATTTTACATTTAAAAAATAATTACTTATATATCAATACCTTAGTTTATTTTAAAGAAAAAAAAAGACTCACTTTGTGCTATTCCATCTTCTTAACCATTCATTTTAGACAACCTGTTGGCTGTTTCCATAAGGACAGCAATTGCCTTATGTTTAAGTAGCATTTGGGAGAGTAATTCCAAAAATGGATTCTAAAAATGTTTTGTATTCTAAAAATCTAGCAGGTAAAAGTCTATATTGGTACAAATATATGTCCTTCCCTCTTATATAAAAGAAGCATCATTTAGATGTACAACTTGTCTAAAAGTCATTTTATAACAGACCGGAGGAAAAAAGTTTTTGACAGGCAAAGCAGAGTCAATAGCCATAATTTATTAAAAGCTCATGTAAAACACTAAGAAACACTGAGTCTATTGGAAACATGAGCAAAGAATTTGAGCAGATAGCTGATAAAATTAAAAATAACCGAGAAAATTAAAATTTAAATAGCTATAGACATGAAAATAATGCTCTAAGTCACTGGTCAAGAATGAAATATGCATATTTTCCTTTTTAAGATTTTTTAAAATTGATTTTTGGAAAGAGAGGAAGGGAGAGAGAAAGAGAGAAACATCAGTGTGAGAGCAAAACATCAATTGGCTGCCTCCTGCACACCCCCCTACCTGAGATCAAGCCATCAGCCTGGGCATGTGACCTGACTGGGAATAAACCTTTAACCCCTCTGCACAGTACAATGCCCAACCAACTGAGCAATGATGAAATACACATTAAAGCAGGAATACTATTTTTTATAAATCATATTCACAAAGATTTAAAGAAAGATCATTTGACTGGAGATGAGTACTCAGGTACTTCTGCTCGTCATACTTCATGTGATAGTATAACTTTTCTACCCTGTAGTTCAATAATTCTATTTTTATGATTCCTCTTTTGAGGAAATATTAATCATTTGATAAACATTCAAAGTTAATAAGCTAATATATGTTATATTAACACATAAATATAATAATATAGAATTAGTTGTTATGTAACTGATTAAAATTATTTTTATGAAGACTGACCAATGAGATGGGAAAGAATTTTGAACAAGGAAAGTAAGCCTATATATTATGCATATTTTTCTATCTAAAATATAGAGCAATTTCTAGAAGAAAATACACAGAGTTATTAATAATAGTTAATTTTGGGGTAGTAGAATTTTGTGTTTTATAGTTTTCTGTTTACAGTTTTATAAAAGTGACAGTGTAATCTCATAATTAAGAGTCAGGATGATGATATGGTTAATAAATGAATTCAAAGTTTGGAGAAGGATATAGAGAGTATAGTACTAGAAAAGGCCCCGTGGAGATTGTGCGACTTGAACCCTAGGCCCTGTCAAATTTATGTATTTGTGAGAGTGAAGGTACCGTGGAATTACATTCTAAGTCAGCTGTGGGCAAACTACGGCCCGTTTGAAATGAATAAAACTAAAAAAAAAAAAAAAAAAAAAAGGCCGTACCCTTTTATGTAATGATGTTTACTTTGAATTTATATTAGTTCACACAAACACTCCATCCATGCTTTTGTTCCGGCCCTCCGGTCCAGTTTAAGAACCCATTGTGGCCCTCGAGTCAAAAAGTTTGCCCACCCCTGTTCTAAGTAGTGTGAAGTGTTAACACTAAAAGAATAGAATTGAGCCCTAGCTGGTGTGGTTCAGTTGGCTGGGCATCATCCCACGCATAAAAGGTTACCTGTTCAGGATACATGCCTGTGTTGTGGCTCCATCCCTGGTAGGGAGTGTGCAGGAGGCAGCTGATCATTGTTTCCCTCTCACATCGATGTTTCTCTCTCTCTTTCTCTTCTTCTTCTTTCCTCTCTCTTTAAAAATCAGTAAAATTTCTTTTAAAAAATAAAAGAATAGGATTGAAAATGCTGTAGTATATTAGGGACAGTAAATGGATGCCTGATTAAAGGATCCATAGGTTGATAGGTCCAGATTGTGGTTACCTTTGAAAGTCTAGCATAGGTGTTATTGCATAGCATACCTATAAACTTAGTACTATTTGACTGCTTTGAGAAGAAACAATATAGTATAGGGATCCAAAGCCTGGGCTTTAGTGTCAGACTAGGTTAAAAATCTGGCACTGCCACTTATAATACATGTGGCCTTGGGCAAGCTACTTATATTCTATGTACCTACTTGTCACATTCACAAGACAGAGATAATAATAGGGTTTATTTCATAGAGCTGTTGTGAAGATTAAGTGAAATACAAGTAAAGTGTTTGATATTTGGCCTGGCATTTGGTAAGTATTCAATAAATGTTTGCACTAATATTAATATTGTTTGAAAAAGGAATATTGGGTACAGGAAGAATAAGTTTGAGCCTGTTTTCAAAATTTGAAATGGAGGTTAAAACTTGCATTTCTAACGATAAAGCACAGACTTTTCATCTTCCTCAATATTTTTCCTAACCCCTATGTTTACCTATTTTCTTTATATCACTTCCCCTTCCTTGTTTTATAGAGTGTATCTGAGAATTGTCCAAGTCATAATCCTCATAGTTGTTACTGCCCCTATTCCTATTTTAGTCCCAAATACAGCACCTTCCTTTATTGCAAACAGGAAATATTCTGTGTTATTTCTTTTAGAGTGTGAACCTAGAGGTGAATTGGAGGAATCTGTTCAAAATCAAGATGTTCTTGTGGACGAATCGACTTTAGAAAAAACAATAGATAGGTACTTAATGTGCGGTGATTATGGCTTGATGGGAGAATCCTCCAAACGTGGCAGATTAGAGAAGGGCCGTAGCAATAAGGAATGTTCGCAAGTAGCAGGCACACAAAAGAAAACTCATGGGAGAGGCAGTAAGGGTGAGGAATTTGACTCAGAAAAGGGCCCCTCTGCAAGTAATGCCAAGGAAACTTCGGATTTAGTTAAGCATCTGAGAGTCTACTTACGGAAGAAATCTCGGAAGTATAATGAATGCAAGAAACGCTTTAGTTTTCATTCAGACCTTGTTATGAACCGCAAAGAGCACACTGGAGAGAAGCCACGGAAACGTAAGGAAGGCAGGAAAGTCTTAAGTCACTCTTCATCTCTTACTAAACATCAGAAACATCCGAAAATTTATATGGGTACCAAGCCCCAGAAGTGCAGTAACTGTGGGATAGACTTCACTCAAAGCTTATCCCTTGTTAAGAGAAGAAAAACCCCTATATGTGAGAAATGTCGGAAAAGTAAATATCAGGATACAACCTCGAATAAAGATGAGGGAACAGAGACTGGAGAAAAATCCCCTAAATGTAGCAGATGTGGAAAATCCTTTGATTATAGTACCACATTGAGCAAACAGCAGAAACTTTACCTTGGTGGAAAACCCTCTATGTGCAATGATTGTGGGAAAGCTTTCAGTAAGAGTGTATCCTTCACACCCCGTCGTAGAGCTCATAGTGGAGAGAAACCCTTCAAATGTGATGATTGTGGAAAAGGTTTCACCCTAACTGCCCACCTCATTAAACATCAGCGAATTCATACTGGAGAAAAACCCTATAAATGTAAAGAATGTGGGAGACCCTTTAGTGACAATTCATCTCTTATTCAACATCAGCGAATTCATACTGGAGAAAAACCCTATACATGTAATGACTGTGGCAAATCCTTTAGTCATAGCTCATCCCTTTCCAAGCATCAGAGAATTCATACTGGAGAGAAACCCTATAAATGTACTGAATGTGGAAAAGCCTTTAGACAGAATTCTTGCCTTACCCGACATCAGAGAATTCATACTGGAGAAAAACCATACCTGTGTAATGATTGTGGAATGACTTTCAGCCATTTTACATCTGTAATTTATCATCAGCGACTTCATTCAGGAGAAAAACCCTACAAATGTAGTCAGTGTGAGAAAGCCTTCCCTACCCATTCTCTCCTTAGTCGTCATCAGCGAATTCATACTGGTGTGAAACCTTATAAATGTAAAGAATGTGGAAAATCCTTCAGTCAGAGCTCATCTCTTAATGAACATTATCGAACTCATACTGGAGAGAAACCCTATGAATGTGACTATTGTGGAGCAACCTTTAGTAGAAGCTCAATCCTTGTAGAGCACCTAAAAATTCATACTGGAAGGAAAGAATATGAATGTAAGGAATGTAAGAAGACATTCAAAAGTAATTCAGGCCTCATCAGACATCGGGGATTTCACTCTGGAGAGTAATTCTTGAACTATAGCAAGGTGGGAGGAAAGTTAATCAAAACTGTTCCTTATTAGAAACCTGGATATAAATTGCCACCACATTGATTAGTAGCTACAACTTTGATGGGTTGGCAGCTAGGAAAAATAGACTTTCCCCCATTCATCCTTCTTTGTAAGACTGTTAATTTTTGGGAGATAGTAGTTAGGGCTGGAAAAGTCATGTGGAAAGTGAAAATAGTACGAGATGTGAAATTATTGTAAAAGGTCAAATATGAATTTAAATAGCAGGGGAGGGGGTACCCAGAACCTACCTTTTTAACCATTTCAGAAGATTTCCCTCTCTTCTACTTTCCCCCTCCACTCCCATGTAGTGTAATAGAAAACTTGGTTGGAGTCAGATAACCTGGGTTCTGTCCCAGTTTCCAACCAATCTACTATATAACCTTTCTGAATTTGTTTTTGAACTGATAGAATGAAGGGTTGGAACTAATAATTTCTAAGTTGGGGTTGTTGTTTTTTGTACCTTATATTTTCTGAAGCTGTAGACATAAGTTAAAATTATTTATTTATTTATTTTGTTAATCCTCACCCGAGGATATTTTTCCATTGATTTTTAGGGAGAGTGGAAGAGAGAGGGAAAAACAGAGAGAAACATCGATGTGGGAGAAACACATCGACTGGTTGCCTCCTGCATGTGCCCTGACCAGGGCTCAGGCCGTGGGGGAGCCTGCAACCTAAGTATGTGCTCTTGATGGGAATCGAACCCAGAACCCTTTGGTCCGCAGACCGACACTCTATCCACTGAGCCAGACCAGCTAGGGCATAAGTTAAATATTTTTGATTCATTGGAATTTTCAAGTTTCTGTCGTAGAAAATGATTTAGGATACTAAACTTCTGGCAGTGAGAATATAGTACCCTTTTTGAATACGGGATGCCTTGAATACTTGATGCTAGAACACTGTAAACAGGAACAAGTCAGTGAAGCTGAAACAAGATTGCCTTCAGGGAATGTTTTAATTGAACGAAACACCTAACTTGTTTTTCCTTTGAGCATTGGCTGAGAGGATTGGGGTCTAGGGACATGCACCTGAGCCATCTCAGACATGAGAGTTACAGTCTTAGGAAAATAGATTGGGGGTGGTGAGGGTGAGAGGAAACGGGTGCTGGAAACAGCTATTCTGAACGGGTTGCCTTTTGCAAAATAGTTTTATTTTTTTAATTTTTGCCTGTACCAAGTACAGCTTCCTGTCAGTAGAGTATAAATATTGTGTATGGCAAAGGTCACAAGCTAAAGTTGGGCCCTTGACATGTCATAGTTGGTCTGCATGGTAAGCGTGTGTGTGTGTGTGTGTGTGTGTGTGTGTGTGTGTGTGTGATTAGTTGCCATCATTATTTAAAATAGGAAATTTCATACTTAAAAAAGGCTAGTCTTGAAGAATGTAAGGGATGACAACTAAGGCCTTATTTCATAAGAAAGATTGTTTGGGCCAGCCGCTTCCACCTTTAGCTAGGGAATCTATTCTTCTACTTGCCAAGTTCTCTCAGTCATGCAACCTGACTTGCCCACAGTAGGAATTTGATATTCTGATTTCCTACCATCTGGAGAATACATATTCTATCATCGAAAGAGACTCCATTGGTGGTAAATAAAATTGAGGAAAGGAATGTAGAAATTATAACAAATTTTCACTTAAGTTTGCTGTTGTGAAATTAGACCTGAAAGGAATGAAGAATACAGATATTAGTGGATTATTCCTTACTAATTTCATTGGTGGAGTCTGAATAATAGTTCCTAACGTAGCCAGTTAACTACCATGTGTCCAAAACGGAAACCATCCCCACATGCCACGATGTTTTAAATTTAGTTTAAAGAATAAATTTGCAATGAATATTATAAAAATAAATATGTTACTCACAATTCGGGTGTTCTTGAATATTTTCAGCTGAAAATTCTCACAAAAAATTATTTTAAAGTTGGTCAGGGCTGCCACTTAGGGAAAACATTTTTTTTTTTTTTATAGACGCAGGTGGCGTGTAGGGGAAGGTCCACCACTTGTGTCTACAGATGCTTGTGGCGTACAATGGGTTAACAGGGAAATAAAAACCCTAAGTCGGTTAGATTTGGGTCTCAGGTCATAAGGTTCTAGAGGAGCCCCACTGACTCAACAGTGGTGCAGAGCTGCTAAAGTTGAAATTGGAGGCAGTGTGTATAAAAACAGAGCTAAAGCAAAAACCTTTCAATTTATCAAAGCAAAGAGATCCACATGCTCATCTGAGATGCAGCAGTATTTGCTGTGATTTAGTGGGTTTAGGTGTGCATTGCTACCTCTGGATAATGTTTGGTTTCTTCCTTGTGCCCTCCCCCAAAGCTTGTAGTCAGATACTGCTGTGTGATAAATTGATCTGCTTACTTACTGCTAAAGAGACCAACCAGAGACATTTAGCCCTAAAGGACTATGGCTTATGAGAATCATTTACCTGGTTTAGGGTTGTTGTTGCTTTTTTGGTTTATTTGTGTGTTTTTTTAAAGATAAAAACCCTGGTTTTTCTCTGAAAAGATATAAACCCTTGTTAGTTTTTCTTTTAGTGATATAAAACCTAGTTTGTTTATCTAAACCCTAGCTTGTTTTTCTGTAAAAAAAAAAAAAAAAAGTAACTTACAGAAAGAATTAAATGTGTAAAGTTCTTGAAAAGAGGCTTGTTCAGGATGTTTACTTTAAAATGACGACCTTGCTTTAAAAAAGGTTTTAATGGGTTTCTATTGAAGACATTTCTTTAAAGTCACACCACAAGACGAGGCTTCTCCTGTCAACGAGTTTCCTTTCTTAACTTATTTTAGAATTGTTTTTAATGGGGTCAAAATACAGAATGTGAAAAAGACCTTTTTAATCCTTTCTGGGTGTACTGTTCAGTGGCATTAAATACATTCACATTGTTGTGCAGTCGCCATATTCATCTCCAGAAGTTTTCCATCATCCCAAACTGAAACTCTACTCATTTACCAGTAACTCCCCACTCTTCCCTCCCCCAAGCCCCCAGTAACCACTATTCTGCTTTCTGTTTCTTATGAATTTGACTCTTCTAGGTTCCTCATATAAATAGATTCATCAATATTTGTTCTTTTGTGCCTGGCTTGTTGCACTTCACATGTTTTTAAGGTTCATGTAATATGTGTCAGAATTTCATTCCTTTTTAAGGCTGAATAAGATTCCATTGTATGTATATACAGTTTTTTGTTCACCCATTCTTCTTTTGGTAGACATTTAGTTATTTCTACTATTTTGGCTATTTTTAATAACACTGATATGAACAGTGGTGTACAAATACCTATTTGAATCCCTGCTTTCAGTTCTTGAAGTGGAATTGGCTGGATGTCCTCAAGTTTCATCCTTGTAGTGTATGATAGGATTTCCTTTTTTAAGACTGAGTAATATTCCATTGTATGTTTAAACCACTTTAAAAAAAACATTTTTATTGATTTCAGAGAAGAAGGGAGAGGGAGGGAGAGGTAGAAACCTCAATGATGAGAGAGAATCATTGATCGGCTGCCTCCTGCATGCCTCCTGCAGGCCCGCCACCAGGGATTGAGTCTGCAACCCGGACTTGGGACCCTTTAGTCGGCAGGTTGACACTCTATCCACTGAGCTAAACCGACTAGGGATACACTACATTTTTTTTTTTATGCATTCATCCATCAGTACACATTTAGGTTGCATCTACCTCTTGGCTATTGTAAATAATGTTACTATGAATATGGGTGTGCAAATATCTCTTCAAAATCTATTATCAGTCTTTTGGATATATTCCCAGAAGTGGGATTGCTGAATTATTTGGTAATTCAATTTTTAACTTTTTGAGGAACCTCCATGCTGTTTTCCATAGCAGCTGCACCATTTTACATTCTTACCAACAATGCAGAAGGGTTTCTTTGCATCCTAGCAACCCATATTATTTTCTATATTTTTGATAGTGGCCATTCTAACAGATGTGTTCTTGATTTGCACTTCCCTGATGATTAGTGATGTTCAAAATCTTTTTATATGCTTGTTAACCATGTGTATATCTTAAGGGAATTGTCTAAGTCCTTTGCCCATTATTTAGTCAAGCTTTTGTTTTTTAATTTCAGCTGTTTTTATTTATTCTAGATATTATCCCCTTATTTATGATTTTTGAGTGTCTTCTCCCATTCCATTGGTTCCATTGGAACATTTTGCATTTTCTTGGCGCTATTTCCTTTGTTGCACAGAAGGTTTTAAGTTTGATGTAGTCCCATTTGCCTATTTTTGCTTATTTTTCTCCTGTGCTTTTGGTGTCATGTCCAAGAAATCATTCTCAAATCCAATGTCATGAAATCTCCACCCCCAGCCCCATGTTTTCTTTTCGGAGTTCCATAGTTTCAGTACAGTCCCATAAACTGGCAATTATTATTGTATAGCATTTCCACCAATATACTGAAGAATCTTAGCATTATAACTCCTTTTTTGGAGTCTGCTTCAAAAAACTGAGCACAAATATATTCAGTATGAGACAGTGGAACAAAGCAAAGAGGTAAACACCATTCTCTTGCTTTAAAATGCCAATATGGCTGGTCTTTTGACTTTATATAGCTAGACTTCCTCTTACAATGGAAACAAATTTTTCTATCTCTAGCTTAAATTCTTCTTTGATAGATGGAAAATTGTCAAAAATTTTTGTTCTGAGTGAATCTTTAGGTAGTGAATTGACATTTCTTTGTAAATTTGGATGTTCTTTGAGATGGAATATACCCAAAGTTTTCATGGGGCTGTGTCTTTTGATACAAAACTCATTTAAAGCTGAAGATAAATTCTTGCAATTTTTCAAATTTTGAATCAATTGGTCTTTGATATCATCAGAAACTTCTTGTGTTCTATGAGCAAAATTATTTAAAGGATTGAAGTTTTCAGTATTTATAAATATCTTTTTAAGTCTCTTCCTCATAAACTTCTGACTAAATCAACCTAAAATAATTTCTTTTCACCATCTCTCCATCTAAGATTCTTTTTGTTTGTGTGTGAGAATTCATACTATTTTAGAGCTGGCTAAATTTACAAACTCAAATCCTGTTAAAAATTTGTTTAATATTTTGTTGGAAATTTAGTTCTCATCTCCTATGACTAATTTCTTGGATTCTTTTTTGACTTAGGAGTGTACTTATCGAACTCACTAGATTGTTGCTGAAAAGTGACTAATATTAGGTATTGTCTTAAATATTGTCTAGTGTGGTATCTTTAACACTTTGGTATACAACAAATAGCTTTTCCATTTGCTATGCCTGCAGTAAATTGCAGTTGCCTTTCATCATTGAATGTGTACTATGCCCTCTTCCACTCTTTTTTTACTGTACTAGTTGTAGTACTAGCTTCTGTATTGCACTGAATTCTGCCTAGTAATCTGCCTTCATTTAAAAATTAAATATTTTTCTGTATTTTTAACCTAGAAAACAATTTAATTATAATTAAAGTAGTAAGTGTCTCAGTTTACGATTATGATTTACATCGGTATTGCTAAAACTTGTGCTGTCTGCATAGGTGTACCTTAACTTGTGCTGTGTACGTAAAATACGCACGTAAAGACATTGTGATGTTACTTCAGTGCATAGAAAAGTTATCTGAACTGAATCTGTCTGTTACTACTGA